TTAAGGAAATCAGAAGTATTTATGGAGAAAAAGATGTGACACTTGGTGTCTCAGTTATCTAGTGCTTTGATAACAGTGAAACCATGAGAGGGTGGCTCTAACAAAAATTTATTTTCTCACAGTTTAGAAAGTTAGAAGTCCAATTTCTAGTAGCTAGTCTAGGGCAAGTCTTTCTCTCTCCATTGGGCGTGGGGGAAGGCCCTTGCCTCTTCATTTTGTTCCCTGGTTCCTTGGAGAGCTCTACCTGCTGACATCTATTTAACCCTTCTCTTTCTCTGCTTGTTTGTGTAATCTGATCTATGCCTCTAAACCACCACTTGTCTGTCAGTTTGCTGCACCGTGTTGGCTTGTGTGTTGCTGTGATGCTGGAAGCTATTGCACTAGTATTTAAAATACTAGCAGGGCCATTCAGGTTGGACAATGTTCTGTGGAGCTTTGAGACTAAGGCAGATTAAAAACCAGGGCTGGTCCTCCACTTCTTACATAAGAAGCCTTCAAAAAACTAGGAACAGAGCACTGTTGGATATAGTGCCTTAAGAGGATGCTCTCAGAAATGCACCTGAGGATAAGCTGTCTCCTCAGAACAGAGTCTACCAGAATGACAAGTATTTGATAGTCTGACAGTGATAAGAATGACAGAAGGAGAATCATTGCCTTTGAACTGTGGTGTTGGCAAAGAGCATTGGCTATCTCATGGGCTGCCAAAAGAAAAAGCAAATCTATCCTGAAGGAAGTGAAAGTAGAGTGTTCCTTCGAGGCAAGGATGGTGAAATTTCATCTCACTTACACTGGATATATTTTCAGGAGGAGCTAATCCTTGGAGAGTGATATCATGGTGAGAAAAGGTAAGGGTTAGTGAATCAGAATACCATTCTCAGCAAGATGTGTGACTTACACAGTGACTCTGATGGACATGAACATCAGAGATTGTAAGGATAACACAGGAGAGGGCAAAGTTCAGATTTGTTGTTCTTAGGGCCATATGAGTTCTAGTTAGCTGAATGACACTGAACAACAATGTATTGTGAAAGAGATTGCCCCAAGACACACACCATCCTGATCATTTCTCATTACATAACAAGGACAACCAATCCTCAAATGGGGTTATAACCACAGGCAGAGAAATGAAGATTTTTATTTCATTTTGAGGGACATTATTAAATCCATGATGCTTGATCCTTGTAAGACTAGGAAGAGGAGTGGGTGATAATAGAAATAAAACAGTCCTGGCCACATACTGATGGGCCATTAAGGTTAGGTGGAGTGCACGGGATCTATTGTGCTATAATCTCTGCTGTTGGATGTGACAACAGCAGAGAGCAATGATGTCACTCTGAAGTCCAAGATGCGCCTGATTCAGGCCATGGCATTTTCTGTTGCTTGCCATGCATCTGAGAGCTGAACAATGAATAAGATTGACAGAAAAATAATGGATGCCTTTGAGTTGTGGTGTTGGAGAAGAGCACAGAATAGACCAGGGACTGCCAAAAGAATGAACAGGTATGTCTTGGAAAAGGGCTGGAGTGCTCCTCGAAGGCAAAGATGGCACAGCTTCTTCTTTCATACTTTGGACATATTATGAGGAAAGACTATTCCTTAGAAAGGGATATCGGTAGTGTAAAATGGTGCAACCACTGTGGAAGGTGGTATGGCGCTTTCTCAAAAAATTGGAAATAGAGATACCATTTGACCCAGCAATTCCACTACTGGGAATATACCCCAAAGAGACCATAACTGACATCCAAGCAGATATATGCACACACATGTTTATCGCAGCTTTGTTCACAATAGCAAGGAGTTAGAAACAACCTAAGTGCCCATCAACAAACGAATGGATAGAGAAGCTGTGGTCTATTCACACAATAGAATACTATGCTGCATTAAAAAAAAGGAACTCATGCAATATTATTCAAAATGGGTGACCTGGAAGATATTATGCTGAGTGAAGTATCTCAGTCACAAAAGGACAAATGCTGCATGGTGCCAATGTTGTAAAACAGGACTGACATTGGGGTTGGGGGAAGATTGAGAAAGATGGGTTCAATAATGTATACTACATTGAAACAGATGAGGGAGAAAGCTGTTTAAAAGGGATGTGTGATTAGGTATTTTTGTCATGACAGGAGTCCAGAGTGAAGCCTGCCTAGTGGAGTGGACCTGGGGGAGGGTTTGTAAAACAATGAAAGAATTTTTCTTTTACATTTCCAAGAGGGTAATGTACTAAGGGGGAGGGTTGAGAGGGGAGAAAAGTGCAGCAATGAATGAATGGAAATCCAAAGTCTAAATTTTCATTGAAATTAATAATAAAATTTTTTGAAAAAGAAACACACACACAAAAAAAGGAAGGGATATCATGCTTGAAATGGTAGAGTGTCAGTGAAAGAGAAGAAGACCTCCAATGAGATGGATTGACACAGTGAATGCAGCAATGGGCTCAAGCGTGTCAGAGGTGGTAAGGAAGACACAGGATGGGACAGGATTATTCACAGGGTCACTAGCAGTTGTGCTTTACTGGACAGTACCTAACAACAACCATCTCTGCCGATGACACACTGCTGGATCAGTTGTGGAATCCTGTGGCCCAGGAGAACTGTATTTGGTTCCAGCTGATGCACCCCAAATACAGCTACCACGTCAGTGGAGACGTGTATGCTGCTATGATGCTGAAGAAGTTTCACCAGAGCTCCCAGACTAAGATGGACTAGGAAGAAAGGTTTGGTAATCCACTTGCAAAAAATCAGGCAAAATCTCTGTGCATCACAGCACAGCATTGTATGACCTGCAACCAATCATGGAGAGAGTCCAGACTCAAGCAAGTTTGGTTTCACTGTGCACCTGAACACACTGAGCCAGGGGCCAATCTGAAAGTAGTTAACAACTCCTGCTTGTGCATGTGTTGACGATGTCGGTATTACAAAGTTAACAGAACGCAATGCAGAATACAGGCACACAATTTATTCTATCATGATGATGATGGTAGTGCTATGTATGTGTGGGTATGTGGAAAGAGAGATGGTGTGTGTGTGTGTGTGTGTGTGTGTGTCTTCATGTTTTCATGTTCTGTTTGAAGTTTGTGTGAGTGTGTGTCTGTATGGGTTTTCTCACATTCTATTTGAAGTATGTGTGGGGGTGTCTGTCCGCATATTCTCATGTTCTATTTGGAGTGTGTGTTTGTCCGTGTGTTCTCATGTTTTATTTGGGGAGTCAGTGTGTGTGTGTGTGTGTGTGTGTGTGTGTGTGTGTGTGTATCTGCCCACACGTTCTCGTGTCTATTTGGGATGTGTGTCTGTCTGTGTGTTCTCATGTTCTGCTTGAGGTGTGTGTGTGGGGTGTCTGCCCGTGTGTTCTTATGTTCTGTTTGAGGTGTATGTGGGGGTGAATGTCCACGTGGTCTCATGTTCTATTTGGGATTTATTTCTGTCCATGTGTTCTCATGTTCTCTTTGGGCTGTGTGTCTGTCTGCATGTTCTCATGTTCTGTTTGAGGTGTGTGTGCGGGTTTCTGTCCATGTGTTCCTATGTCCTATTTGGGGGTGTGTCTATCTGCGCGTTTTCATGTTCTATTTGGGGTGTGTGTCTGCCCGCGTGTTCTCATGTTCTTTTTGGTTCAAGTTATAGCTCAGGAGCAGTGAGGCACAGTGAATACAATGACTTTTTGACGAACTTGAATGGTGTGGAGATCTAACAGTCCCAGCTGGATTTCTAAGGTGTGCCAGGCAAGCCCAGACACAAGGCGTCTCCTTAGGGCACTGCCGGAGCCAGCCCCACTTGGTTATTCCCACGATCAAAGACTGAGTAAAACTGTCTAATGAAGACATCGCCCAAGATCCAGAGGGGCCCAGCTGGAGGCTGGATGTCGAGACCTTGAAAACCACTGCCACAGAAGTCCATTCCATCCACAACGTCCTAGAATTGGAAAGAGCCATGTAAAAAACATACAGATGAAGAAGGAAGTAGTGCTGCTTAGAAGTGCCCCTGAGGGGTGATGGCTGATGGCCCCGAATGACCTCGGCCGATTTTGGCTGGTTTTTTCTTCCTCATACCTCCCCCACCCCTACTGCAGTTGACTCAATAAAGTGTGTGTGTTTGCACAAGTTTGTGCATGTGAGCCTGATCTTGTAAGGTTATAGTTTTGAGAACTGTTTATATTATACACTCCTCCTCATTTGACTATTGGGAGAGCTAAAGCCTTGTTAAGTGGTCAAAAGAGCGAAAACATCAGCACTAGCAGAACTTGATCCAAATATTGGTTTCCATGAAGCTCAACTTATTTGCTTTAAGGAAGGGAAACATCTCTAACAGTGGCTACTGCCATCCAGTGCTCCTTTCTGGAGGATGTTGTGGGGGGAATCATCTGAATGATCCCATTTAGATATAGGAGCTCCTGCAGCTTAGTGGTAAGGAGTTACACTGCCAACTCCAAGGCACATGGTTTGAATCCACCAACTGCTCCTTGGGAGAAAAATGAGCATGTGATTTACCACCTCTGAAAACCCACTGGAGGGCCAGCTATGAGTCAGTTCTGACTCGACGGGAGAAAACAAAAATAATCTTGTATTATATCTAAGATTGTTGTTGTGATGTAACGTCAAGCCTAAACTGAAGCACAGCTGATCCTCCATCAGGTTTTCAGAGGCAGTAAATTGCCAGAGGTGAAAACTGTTCACCTTTCTCCTACGGAGCAGCTGGTGGATTAGAACTACAAGCCTTAGGGTTGACAGTGCAGCTCCTTACAACTAGACCACCAGAGCTCGCACATGGCAAGGAACTGTTAGGAGCTCATCCGTTGAAACCAACAACTCATAGCTGACCAACTAAGCATCCATTATTCGAGGAAAATAGTTTAATGCTCCTCCTTTCCTTCTTTTTGTTAGCAGATATGGGGTTTTTTTTAAACAATCATATGAAATTTAAGTTTGTTGTTTGGTGGGGGAGGGGACTTCAGTCACCTAAGGAAGAGGATAAAAGTTTCAAGTTACTATCGCGTCTTTGTTGGACTGAGGTGGTCCTGCTTTGCGTTTGCTGGCAGAAAAGCACAGTGGTACCATGCTGGGAGCGGGGAAGGCGTGGGGCGCGGAGTAGGAGTCCCAGAGGGTGAAGATGGTGGTGTTGAGACAGCGGGTGGTGACAGGTGTAGACTGATGAACCAGCTCCAGGTACACGCCCAGCTTGTCCTCAGGAAGCCCGTTTCTGAGGTTTGTGTTTGCAGAGGCAGCTCCAGAATTTCTATGTTGCAGGAGTTCAGGGGACTTACCACGAAGCTGTGCCTTAAAAAGAAACTTTTGTTTGTGCTTGGATTGTCTGCTTATATTTGGGGTGGCTCTGGGAAAGGGTTAATGAAGACTTAGGTGCGAGGGGTGGGGCTCAGGCCTGTATTCCGCGGCAGTCGCTCTGATATTATGTGTGGTTTTCGGGCATGGCGGCCAAAGAAGGATGATGATGGGAATCTGAGCCAGTTGTGCTGGGACGGGACCATGTTGTTGTTGTTCTGTGCTGTTGAGTTGCCTGCGACTCATAGCAACCGTATGTACAACAGCTCTGAACTCTGCTCTATCTTGAGCCAATTTCATTGTCTCTGACAGGCCTAACCCCATTGCCCCAAAGTTAATCCATACTCCAGGGTCTTCTTCCTTTCTTGCATTCAAACTCAAACTCAAACTCAAACTCACCGGCTGAGTCAATTCTGATTCAAGAGACCCTCGACAAGTTTTTGAGGCTGTAAGTCTTCATGGAGAGAGATCATCCATCTTTCTCTCAGAGAGCTGCTGGCAGGCTTGAACTGCCAGAGATGCATGGCCTTTGGTTAGCCGCACAACCCCCTACATGCTGTGCCACCAGAGCTCCTTGAAGTGACCAGAGATTTCCAAAATACCTGGAGCCACTCTCCCCTCTTGTTCCTCCAAATTTGTTAATCTGCTCTCACAAAAGACATTTTTTTACTTGAGGAGAATCTTAATTGCAATGTTAACACGTTCCCTAGAAATCCACATCTTAAATCAGTTCCTTTACTCTATGAGTCTCAATAACTTATCTGTGAAATAGAGTAATTGGCTCTCTGGTATGACGTGAGGGTAGAGAAGTCCTACAGGACCACGTCAGGAAATCACTGAGAGCCGCTTGCTGACAGTTCTCTATGGCAGAACTGGATCAGAACCAGCCAGTGGCCTTCACACCACAGGCAGCTGCATCTCCTAGACAGAAGAGCATATCAGAGCAGGCTATGGCAGGAAGGAGACTGGGGATGAATGGAGCCCGAGAACAGGCGACTGTTGGATAAGGGGAAGTGGTTGGCTCATGAAAAAGGCCCTGTGAGTTGCAGACTCAGGAAACAGTTCCTACCAGCAAGGTGTAGGCAGTTGGACTGAGGCTGTATGGGACTCCGTTGATGGTGAAGGTGACATCCGGCATGACGTTGAGGTTGGTACACTCCACAGCATACTAAAACACAGCACAGAGGATCCAGTTAGAGGCTGAAGAGAGCCCCTAACCCCTTGCTCCCAGCCCTCACCTGCAGGCACCCACCTCTCCATCCACTGGCTGCGCCCCAATGGCCCTCTGCAGCTCCTTGATGTTGTTCGGGGGGCCTGTGATGAGGGAGGTCCCTGTGTCCACAATGGCCTGGCAGCCCTCGGAGCAGAACATCACAGTCCCTCCTACCTGGATGCTGAAGGAAAAGAGGGCACCATCAACCCCCCAAGAGCCTCCCCTGCTCCCCAGGCAGCTCTCACGCTCCGCTGGGCCCTCATTCATTTGATGGAGCATCATGAATGGCTTCCACTTTGGCCTCTGTTACCAGGAAAGCATGTCTCAATTTTTGGGTTGAGATCCACAGTAAGAAATAGGTTTCTTTTGACCCGACACACAGGTGTGCACACGTGCGCACACATACTCCCGCAACACAAAAAAAGTTTAATGTGTTCATTTCCATTTTATTTCATTCCATTTTGAAAATGGAGGTCATGATCCCTTAAAACTATGCTGTGACCCATTGATGGATGAATCTCTACACCTGGAAAAAACCACCAGTAGTCAATGAACACTGAGGAGTTTTCGTTCATTTTTACCTTTGTACCCCTAGGGCCCAGCTCATGTCTGGCACTTGATAGGCACTTCTGCTTAAGTGAATTGAATAATAGTTCATTTAATGAATCTATTGTCTTGTATATTACCATATTACCCTCCAGTAAGTTTTCAGAGGCAGTTAATCTCCTGGGGGGAGATTGCCCATTGTTCTCAGGTTGAGCATCTGGTGGATTCAAACCAAGTGCCTTCAGGATTGCAGCGCAGTGTCATACCACTAGGCCGCCAGAGCTCATTGTTTTGTCAGTGATAGGATATGGCCCCATTCTGCCCTTGCTGCTCCAACTGTTCCATGTCCACATATCACATGTGTCCAGTTCAAATTCATTGTCATTCCCTCCAGGAAGCTCTGTGTACTCTTCAGACAGCGGCTATTTTAACTTGTCTGCTGGGTCACTTTGGTGGCCTTTCTCCTGGAGCACTGGCCACCTTTAACCTTTTATCTTTAATCTTTGTGTATAAATTATTTTCTATCAAATTATTACAAGGGCTAAATCTGAGTATGATTTACTTTGGCATTTCCCTCACCTCTCAGCCTTTGTCTTATATACTTGATTAGTATTGAATGAATGAATGAATGAATGAATGAATGAATGAATGAATCTGAACAGTGTAGCAGGTCATGCACAGGAAGGACGCTGAGAGCTGGTAAGTACTGTGTGCCTGCTTTCCTGGTTACTCAGCACCTTTGTTCAGCTCCTGTAACCTCTAATCTCACTCTAAGAGATCTTCCTACACTTTCCTCATCACCAATAGTTTCATTCGGGTCAATTCAGTTCATTCAATATGAGTTCTTCCTTCACATCACCTGCTGGAGGGTACTCACTTGTCCAGTGTAATCTGCCAGTAGCCTTGCTTGGTGACTGGAACCCAGTTCAGGCTCCCAGAGAAATGAGAGTGGTCATAGCCTCCGAAAATCAGCTCACTTCCCGCGCCACCTGCTGCATTACTGTGTGAGAAGAAAAGCAAGTTGTCAAGGACGACCTACTGGAAAACTCCAGCGTTGAACCTCAATCCTTTGATTCTTGGTGTAGTTGCTTACACCAAGTACCTAGAAAGGAAAACATCTCAGCCTGGGCCTTGAGAGCAGCCCCCCCCCCCCAACTATGGCATAAGGGTAGAAACAACCCCTGCTAGCCAATTTGTCAGGTCTTCTAAACTTCTGGAAGGTCTTTTGCTGTTATTAGGTGCTTTCTTTCTTTTTTACTAATTTATTTACAAAATTCTAATACAAATTTGAACAAATTCTTTCCATTTCCCTCACCCCCATCCATCAAATTGTATAAGCCAATAATTAATCCTCCTTCCCCCTGCACATCCACATCCCTCTGCTTCCAGCCTCTCCCACCCCTCCTGGATCCTTATACTCCTTCTACAATAATGGTCTTATACAATATTTATCCTTATGGGACTGAGTTAGTTCACTCAACATAATGCTCTCCAGTCCCTTCGAAGTTAGATAATAATTTACAAAGTTATTGCTCCTGCATGCTGCATAGTAGTCCATTGTGTGAATGTACCACAATTTCTCAATCCATTCTTTCGTGGTTGGATATTTGGGCTGTTTCCATGTTCTTGCCATGGTGAAAATAGTGCTGCTATGAACATTGGTGTGCAAATGTCAGTTTGTGCCTCAGTTCTCATATTCTCAGGGTCTATTCCAAGTAGTGGAATATCTGGGTCATATGGAATTTCTATGTTCAGCTTTTTGAGGAAGCACCAAATTGCCTTCCAGAATGGTTGCACCATTTTACAATCCAACAATGTAGAAGAGTTCCTTTATCACCACATCCTCTCCAGCATTTATTACTTGCTGCCCTGTTAAACTTTGCCACTCTTACTGGAGTGAGATGGTACTTAATTATGGTTTTGATTTGCATCTCTCTTATTGCCAGTGATTTGGAGCATTTCTTCATGTGTCTGTTTTCCATTCGAATATCTTGCTCTGTGAAAATTAGGTGTTTTCAAGTTGAGTACAACTCATATCGATCCTATGAGCTGCAGATCTGGGGCCTGTCTCGTCCTGTGCCACCGTCACAATCTCTGACACACTAGAGCCCATTGTGTCAGTCATGTGCTAATCCACCTGGTCTATGGTCTCTCTCTTTCCTTCACTGTCCCTCTACCTTTCTAAGCATGATATCCCTTACTAAGGAGTAGCCTCTCCTAGCAACAGGCAAAGCTTCATCATTTTTGCATCCAAGGAGTTTCCTAGCTACACCTTCTCCGGGACATATCTGTTTGTTCTCTTGGCCGTCCATGGGATAGTCAGTGCTCTTCTCCAACACCACAGTTCAAAGGCATCCATTCTTCTTCTGTCATCCTTATTCGTTTTTTTAGCTCTCAGATGCACAGCAAGTGACTGAAAAGACTACGACTTGAATTAGGCACATCTTAGTCTTTACACTACCATCACTGATCCTAAATAATTTGGAGAGATCTAGTGGAAATAGGGACAACAGATATAGCATCCCTTACTAGAACTATTGAGATCTAGGTAGAACTTACGAATATTTAATTATTCAATTGTCCCAGATGTAAGGACACATAGTGTTCCTTGTTGTTGTTGTTATGTACCATAACAACCTTATGTACATTAGCTCTGAACCCTGCCCTATCATGAGACAAACTCATCATCTTTGACAGTCATCCCATTTCTCCAGTCACTGAGTCAATCTATCTCATCTTGGGTCTTCCTCTCCTGTGCTGTCTCTTCATCCTTCCAAGCATGATACCCTTCTCCAAGGACTGGTCCCTCATAACCACCTGCCCTAATTATGTGAGATGAAGTTTCAAATTACTTGCCTCCAGGGAGCAACCTGGTTTCACCCTCTCTAGGACAGATCTGCTTGTTCTCCTGGCAGTCCACAGTATGTTCAACACTCTTCTCTAGCACCACAACTCAAAGGCATCAATTCTTCTTCTATTATCCTTGGTCATTGTTCAACTCTCTGACTCATAGCAAGTAATTGTGAAGACCATGTATCAGGTGCTCCAGACTGGCATCATTGTTCTTCAGTACTCTGGAGAAATCCCTGACAACACACTTTTCCAATGTAATTCATCTTTTGATTTCCTGACTGTTGGTGCCAAGAGTGTTGATTGTGGAACCAAGCAATCTGAAATTATTAACAATTTCAATCTCTTCTCCATCCATCATGAAGCTTCCAATTGGCCCAGTGTTGAGAATCTTTGTTTTCTTGATGAAACAAAGCTTCAATCTATATTGAAGACTACAGTCCTTGACCTTCTGCAGCAAGCGCTTCAGGTCTTCTTCAGTTTCAGCAAGCAAGGTTGTGTTATCTGCGTAATGCAGGTTGTTGATGAATCTCCCTCTAGTCCTGTTGCCACAATACTCCTCATACAGCCCAGCCCCCCCAGATGATCTGTTCTGCATATAGATTGAAAAGGCATGGAGATCGGATGAATCCCTGACATATTTATTCCCATTTAAAAAAAAAAAAGGTGACCCAACAAAGTGTGTAAATTATCACTGATGGTAATATCATTAATATCAAATGCAAGTAACACCCTGCTGAAAATTATCTAAAAATGACTGAAACAGTACATCAGCAGAGAACTGCCAGATATGCAGGCTGGGTTTAGAAGAGGCCAAGGCACTAGCCAATGTTAGATGGATCTTAGCTGATAGCAGAGAGTACCAGAGGAGTGTCTATCTGTGTTTCACTGACTATGCAAAGGCATTTGACTGTGTGGATCATAACAAATTGCTGCTAACTTGAGAAGAATGGGAATCCCAGAACACCTAACTGTTGTGCTCAGATGAAAACTGTGCTTGGACCAGGAAGCAGTAGCCAGAACAGAGCAGGGAAACACCATGTGGTTCAGGATCAGGAAAGGAGTTGTTGTTTGGTACCATCAAATCAGGTCCAAGTCGTAGTGACATTATGAATAACAGATATGAACCCTGTCCTATTCTGTGCCATCCTAACCATCTCCAACACACTTACACCTATTGCTATACTCACGGGGTCAATCCATCTTGATGAGGGTCTTCCTCTCTTTTGCTGACCCTCTACCATTCCAAGTATACTTTCCAAGCATATTCCTTTCCCAGGAATAACCTCTTTTAGCAACATGCCTAAAATATGTAAGACGAAGTTTCACCATCCTTGCCTCCAAGGAGCATTCTGGCTGCAGTTTTCTAAGACATCTGTTTGGGTTTTTTTGGCAGTCCATGGGATGAGGAAAGAAGAGCTATGGTGCCTTTCTCCAGCACTACAAACGGAAAGGTCATGAGGCACTCTCAAAAGATACCTTGTCCTACAGTATCTTCACCATGGGGATTGTGGTGGTGTGTGGGATTTCCATATTGTTCATTTTTCGTTGTGAAGGTAAAGGAGTAAACATGAATGCAAACTTCACTTCCTAGAGCTGGAACATCTATTGATTTTTGCTGATATTGGTTACTTAGATTATGTCCTGGCATCTAGCAAGATCCTGGGAAAATACACAAGAAGACTGATTTGTTTTTAGGAAGAAAAGGATCAGAGAATCCCAGAACTGAGCACACTGCAGGCAAGGTATTCTGGGGGAAGAGAGCTGGGATTCTGTTAGGAGGAAAAGAACGAATAGTGATTCATTTTGTACAAGGCACGATGCTAGAAGTTTTGTCCCTGTAATCTTATTAAGTTTTAATAACCCCTGGAGGAAATTGAGGATTAAGAAGATGAAATAAACAAAGTTGTACTATTTAATTCAAGTGCTTGCTGTTTGCCACTGGTACTTGCTTCTTCGCAGAAGAAAAATGGAGCAGGGAGTTCTGAAAAGGGAAAGTAAAGGTGTCCAGACAACCTGCTTTCCATCTCCATCTGGTTCCTAGTTCTGCCCAGGATTGATCTTAATCGCTGCCGCACTGGAGAGGAAGCTCAGCTGTGACAGGAGATGCAGGACTGTCCATGTAGGAGAGGGAGACAAGGGAAATGGTTGTGCAGGCTCTGAGAGAGGGAAGGAGTTTGGATCGGATGCCTTTCGGAGCTCCGGGCCAAAGTGCCCAGGGGCAGGTTTCATGGCCTTTTTTATCTATAATGTTGTTAAAACTGGCATAAAACAAGATGCATGCCATCCCAACCTCACTTGTACAGTATCATGACACTAATCATGTCCATCAAATTGTATAATCATCATCTTTAACACTTTCTAAAGGTTTTCATTACCTTTGACAGAAACTCAATATTCCTTTGTTGTTGTTATGTCCCATTGAGTTGGACCTGACTCATAGCTGACCCTCGCAGATTTTCAGAGGAGGAGATTGCTCGTCCTTCTCCCAAAGAGCAGCTCATGGATTCAAACTGTGTGCCTTTGAGATTGTGGCGTGGCTTCTTACCACTAGGCCACCAGAGCTCCCTCAGCGCTTCTTTAGGAATGGTTGAATCTTCCCACCCACCTCCCTGGTTATCTTTGTAGGGAGGCACCCTTCATCGCATTTCCACTCAGTGACCATAAAGTATAACAGGCTGAAATGCTACCCGTCTCTGCCCCATGCTCACCGTAGTTGCTGAAATCAATGCCATAATTGCAGTCATCTTGTTGAGGATGTTCCTGTTTTTTAATGGACCCTCAACTTGACTAAGCATGTTGCCTTTCTCCCAGAACTGGTCACCTCCTCATAGCATGTGCAAAACACCTAAGATTCAGTCTCTTCATATTTGCTTCTAAGGAGCATTCTGGCTACACTCCTTCCAAGACAGACAAATCTTCTGGAAGTTGGTGGTATGTTTGTTAGTCTTCACCAACATCACAGTTCAAAGAGGAAGGCTTCACTATCTGATTGTTGCATGCACATGAGAGGATTTAACATATTAGACTTAGCACCTGAGTGCTCAAAGTGACATCCTTGTTCTTGAACACTTTTCAGGATGTCTTTTGCAGCACATCTGCCCAAAGCTATACTTGTTTGATTTCTTGACTGCTGCTCCAATGACTCTG